TAGCGTAACTGGCAACGCATCTGCACGGTAAGCAGGAGTTGTGGGTTCGAGTCCCGCTCCGGGCTGATTTTTTCTCCCAGCGGTTCTAAATTATTTAAATTAATTAATTTATTTATAATTATTAATGTTAATAAGAGATGGCGCCTAACGCTTACCTCTAGAGCCAAATTGGTTACGTAATTCATTTAATAAATAGCCTTATACTAGCCCGATAGATTTTCGGCATTCGGTTGGTGTGTATCTAAACTATTTTAATTTAACCATTTACATTTTATTAATAAATGCCACTATATTACCATAAATGTTAACAGAGTTTGAATAACATTCACAAATAATATTTCTTAAATAAAATTATTACAAAGTCAGGTTTTGCAAAGTTATATATAAAATTCCATAGCAAAAACAAATAAATTCATAAAGTAACATTCTGTGTAAATATCTTCCATATTTGCAAAAAACATCTTTATAAATTAATAAACAGTTTTTATTCAAACATGGACAACTATTTTGTATTTTTAATATTGTGTAGTTTAAAAAAATTGTATAATAATTTCTACTTCAAAACAAAAATCTCATCACTTATCAATGTAAGTTATTCCAATTATACAGTATAAAATTTTAAAATATTGAAATTCATTGTCTGTGCTTTCTGTGGAATCATTTATTTCATAAAGCAACAGTTCAAACTTATTTAATTACTATTCATAAACCAAACTTTTTGCAAATGTAGTTGTTAAAAAAATTAACAATGAATTTGCATTATATTTCAAATATTGTATATTATTTACCTTATGTTATTACACAGTTAACACTAAGTTTTATCTAAAAAAACACATACCACACAAGTAATAGCTTTTCGATGTCCAACAAAATCTTTATTTGTTTTCCAACCATCTCTTTCAACAATCTGAGCAGTTGGACCTGAATTATTCATTGCATGAGCTGATACTAAATACTGACCATCTGGAGACCAACTTAAACGAAGAATGTGAGTTGTTCCACCACACTAAAATTTAACATATACAATTTTATTAATTTTAAGATATTGCCAATGAAAGTTTTATTTAATGATATTAAGGACAAAATGCAATTATTAACAAATAAAATAACTTTATAAGGAGATGACTGATAAACTGTACAACAATAATCAAACAGCAATAATACTTTATTTTATATGTAGATATATCAATTTAATTGAAAAAAAACATTATTAAGAAAATTCAAAAATCAATTATTGTATTATAACAATTATGTTTAGTCTATTTCTGTCATATTCTATATGATATGATAAATTCAACTTTAAAATGACAATGTTCTCTAAAACTTTGTACATTTAAAACTATACCTGAAAACATTAATTAAATTATCTGACAACAATTTAGTTATGTTGAATGATTTATATATATATAACACATTTCTTGGATAATAAATTGTCTTGTCTTTATATGAAACGACAGTTTACATTATTGAAGTTGAAAACTATATAGTTAAATGAAATTAATTATTCCTTAGATTAAGTAGCAAAAAACAGTTTACACATTATTATTATTACTATCATCATCATCTTTTAATAATCAATAATTTAAATAAACTTAAAAATATAGCCAAATATATATAGAATATATACTTCAGAAAAAGGTTCTGTAATGACTGCTTCCTGTTGCCAGTCATGTGTTCTCCATACTCTTAGACTTTTATCATCAGCCTGAAAAAAATTATTCTTGTAATTAAAACAAAAATAATCCATTAATTATAAATTAGATTTATCATTATTTATATTTATTACAGAAAAATTTAATTTAGTAGTAACATACAGTCAACCCTCCTAAAACACGGTAGATATGTTCCGGTTTTTATGAATCCATTTTCTACAAGTCCAGCCAATTACAGCCTGGCACGTATGCAGTTTACGGACTACAGCTGGTTGAAAGGTTCTTCCATAAAATTAATCAATTCTAGACTAATTTGACTCAACATTTCCAAAATATGTATAATTTTTTGGGAATAATCCATATAAACTATGCTATAAACAAAAAATTGTAGGATTACCTACCGAGCATGCACCGTTCGACCACACCATTGCTTAAGTTTGTGTTTGTCATGGAGCTTGTCATCGAATGGCACTCGCGTGCTTCCTGATAAATTATTTTTTTTTTGCGAAAAATTCGCTGAACTTTGGCGACATCATTAATATAAATATAATTTTTATGGACATTAAATAATAAATGGGTTTTAGTAGGTCCGCTGCTCGTTTAAACTCAACAGTTTGTGCAATATCCGCTATTGGTCTAGATTCGACCAATCCTGTCGCGACACGAGTCAGCAATGACGTTTTACTGAATTATACGAGTTTTTTAGCATGTTTGTACGAATACTGTCGCAATTTTTTTGCCCTGATATAGGAATCCAAACTATAGGAACCCGTGTTATAGGGGGGTCGACTGTATTTTAAAATCCTCTGCAGGAATTTTACCTAAAATTATGTAAAAAGAATAAAAACTTTCTATGAAATATTTTTAATGTATTTATTAATCTATGCATTAAATAAGTATAATATAAATGGTATAGCATTTATTATAATCTAAAAGTATACTATAAACAGTAATATTATAATCTGTAGGTGTATGACTTTAGATTACACTAATGTTTATGGACAAATAAACTTTTTATTTGGATGTTGATTGAGCTAATATTAGCTCAATCAACATCCAAATAATAATTTATTAATTCAACAATGTATATAAATTTCTTTATGGTAAACAGTNATAGTAAGGTTCCATATTACCACCCGATTTTCTCTAAGCCTACTTTCGGACTTTTTGTACAAAAGCCTTCAAAAACCATACTTATAATTACACTAGCAAAAAATCCAATTAGGAATATTTAGTTTACTAGTTACCAGTACTTTTTGCACAAAAAATGTGGGTGTAGTTATGATACCTTGTTTACAATTCACTAAAATATAATTGGGATTCCATAATACCACCTTCTCCTCTACATATTGAAACTATTCCATTCACACAAAAATGAAAAATATTAAAATGCATTTAACATTTTTCATTTCTGCAAAGAATAATTTCAGTTTTAAATGACATATTTATATTTATATCAATAAAAATTTCTCTCTCACAACAATAAATTTACAAACATTAATTATAACCAATCTGTATTGAAAATTTCAGTATTTCTGTATTAATTTTGTTATCAAAAATATACACTAAAATCATATTATATTTCAATTATTGATAACATAGTCATATAGCAAAGTGAAGGCCTATGCAGAAGTTTAGCCAAAAAAGTGGAGGAAAAGAAGACAAAGTACATCCTTTGGATGATTCTGAACAGATATCATATGACAAGTTATCTTTAACAGTTGATATTTTAGACTTTTACAATTTATTTTTAAAAAAATTATATTTACCTGTGATGCTATATATTTCCCAACCGGATCCCAAGATACACCTTTAACAAGACCAGTGTGCCCTTTTAGAATGGCTATTATTTCTGAAAGTATTTTGAATTATGTAAATATTTCACTAAAATCAAACTTAAAATATCTAAAATATAGATTAAAAATATTTAAATAAAATAATTTTTGAATATCAGTCAATAATGCAGGAATTTTAAAAGATAAGGTTTATATTACTAAAGATAACTTGTATACATTAAACAGATGGATTGCATAATTAATTTTATATAATAACAGAATTTTCAGTCAGTCAATTATAAATTTGGGATTATTACTAAATATTTGAAATCTACTTATAATTATCAATAAAAATTATATAGTTTTTGACTTTTTTAAATTAGTGTTAATTTTAAAATAAGTTCAATAGTTTCTCAATAAAATTTATAGTATCATCTTTTACCTTATCTCCGTTTTTTTGTGAAGGCAAACTGTGTATAATTAAGTAATTTATTATTCAGTCCACTCATTAAACTTTTCCGTTAGTACTGCTGTAAACAGTTTGCGAAACCCAGACAAAAGAGCAATGGGACGCTAGTTGGCTGGACAGCTTCTTTCCCCTTTTTTAAATATCATTTGGAAAATGATTCTATTCCAATCTCCAGGTATTGTACCCGTGTTATAGAAATTATTATATAGGTTAGCCAATAGATGAATGCCTTCCATCGAGAAGTTTTTGATTATCAAGTTGGTAATGGAGTTGGCACCTGGAGCCGTTTTCTCTCTTATTTTTCTGATACACCTATGTAAATTTTCTACATTAAATAAATATTTCTATTATTGATTGTATCGTAACAGTTAAACTTTGTATTTTATGCACATTATATTTATTTTTATAGATAATGGAAAATTCTTCAAAGTATGGCAACCAATTTTTATACGTCATATAACATTTGGGCTCTGGGGTTTGTAATTTATTTCTGACTTGTTTAATAATATTCCAAAATTTTTTAGTATCTTTGGCCTTTAATAATTGGTCACTCATCTCAGAATAATATTTCTTCTTTTTTGCTTTAATTAGATTTTGATATATTTTTTTGTTCCTTATATATTCTTTCAATGTTGACTCAGTGTTCATTTTTCTAAAATATTGTAAGCTACGTTGTTTTTTAATTTTATATAAGTAACAACTCTTATCAAACCAGACTTGTTTGGGTTGATAAGAGTTGTTACATTATCAATTGATTGTTGAATTCATTTTTGAATTTTTTCAAATTAAAACTTCTTCTTATCTGTCTTCAGTAGGTTTGGCTATTTTTTTTAATTTGTTCTTCCCTGTTTTTGTGTGGAACACAAATTAGTTCTAGTTGCACAGGAAAGTGGTCTGAAATGTCATTATTCAAAACACTAAAATCATTAATCTTATTTAGAACAAATTCCAAACAAATTACATAGTCAATTATAGATTTACCTAAATTAGGTAGGTAGGTATATTCCGCAGACAGTCATTTAAAAGTCGTCCGTTTAATATATATAAACTATTATCTTGTACAAATTCTAGTAATGTCCTACCTCCTAAGTTACTTACTTTATCTTTGGACGTTCTATTATTATCAATAATTCCATTGTTATTTTTGGTTTTTGTATCCATAATTTCTCCTATTCGACTATTAGCATCGCCACCAATTATCCACAAGTCTGTGATATTAGTTCTCTGTATTATCTTATTTTGGATTTCTACTAAGATTCACTTTTTATCAGATTTTGGTGGTAGCTCTAAGAGTATAATTCCTATATGTGTTAATCCCAGAGTGCACTTAAACATTGGCAAAGTTCTAATTCAACTAGAATGTAGTTATTATCAGCAACCCAAGACCTCAATTTACCTAGATTTTTATTTATTAACAATAAGAGACCTCCAGAGGACAGGCCGAATTTAGTATTTCTTTGATCTTTACTTTCTAATACTAGAAAGGTTTGTTCTAAAAAAGCTTTGTCTTCTATTTTTAGCTGGATCAACCAAGTTTCAGACAGACCAATAACTTTATTAGATTCTAAGTATCTATAAAATATGTTTGTGTATAGTTTTCTTTGGAGGCCTTGAATATTCCAAAATCCAAAAAGAATTTTTGAATTATTTCCTTTTGTATAGTCACTTATTTCCAGTGATAGTTCAACTACTAAATTTGTCTGCTTTATTCTGTTTCCTTGTCAGTTATTATTTTCTAGTATTTCTTGGTTTGTGGAATTATCTGTTCTCCAATTATTCATGGAAATGTAAAATTTTATGGCGTGTATATTTGATAAACCATTCAATCCAGACCAAACCCAGATGGAGAACTCCAAGAATTTTTACAGGTCCATCCTGGATATGTAAGGCCCCAGCCCTCCCCACCCAGCTGCTCCATTGAGGGCTGGTCTAAACCCACAATGAGTATGAAAAAAGACTCTCTCAGTGTCTACAGGGCAAAAAGGGTAAAAGAAACCTTGAATTCTTCTTCCAATACATAATAATGATTTAAATAGATCTAAAATTAATTACCTTGCCATTTAAGAGCATTCCAAATCACAATAGAATTATCTACACTACATGTTGACAGCCATACATCATGAGGTGACCATGCTAAGTCAAGTATATCTATAAAATAATATGTGATATTAAATTTTCATGAAAAATTTTTTTAGTATCTCAAAATAATTTTTCCACAAACTTTGTGGAAGAATTTCAATACAAAATGTTAATTCATTAATTATATTTCTATTAATAGTCAAATAAAAACAATAATTTAAATTATTTATTAATGTATATGATTACTTAATTCAAGTCTCACACTAGATTGTTCTTTTCCTTCAGAATATTCTAAATTAATTAATTTAATTCAAATTTAATTTATAATTATTAAATTTAATGTAACATTGTGATCTAACTGCATATCTTTAGGCCAAATTAAATTATTTAATCATTTACTAATTAGTTTTATAATAGTTTGAATGTAATCTGGTTCTAATTATTTAAGTAGTTAAAGATTTGATTTGAATATATCTTATTTACAATAGACAATCTATTTAAATTCTAATAAAACAACTATAAAAATATCACAATAATAAAATCATCAAAACTAACAAGGATTTTATGATGTTTTTAATTGTTCACACTTGATAAATGTTAATTATACTCAATAAGTTTTATATAAATAACTAATTTTCTGACTTCGATAAGTCTGATTTAAAAATTTACAGATTTTTTTACTAATATCTGTATCAAACTATGAAACAAAACATGATTATTATTTTACAAATAAAAAGTTCAAATCAAAGATTGAACACACAAAGTATACACACATGTATTCATAAACAAGCAGCCCATGAAAAATGAAGGCAAGGTGACTGGATCGTTGCAGAAAAGAAGGAAGGAACCGCTATAAAGGACTTTTTAAAGAAAGTTTAAACAATAACATGTATTATAAAATGATTTGTTCCTGTTATCTTTTATCACTTAACTTCAATGTGAGACAAACTATCCATATTAAAATTAATTGCATAAGATATTTTTATTCTTACAACTATTCGAAGTATTAACTGCATAATAAATGGTGTAAAAAATATTTTATATATGATTAAATTCACTACAGCATAACAAGAGACTTAAAACTGATGCCAAGTAATATTTTTTATATCTGTAATTTTTATCCAAAATCGCTGTGGCAGTCCATTTTATCTGAGTTTTTATAGTTATCTACGATAAGCATCAGTCCACATTACCTCATATAATTGGGTTTCTGTTTTAATTATAAATTCAAAATTTACAACTATGCCTATAACAAAAATAATGGATAAATATTATGTAAAGCAAACATAAAAAACAGAGTAATATAGACAACTGCCTACAATGCAATTTCTTTTTTTGCAATTACTGAAAAAAATACTAAAATAATCTGTCAATAATTGAGTAGTGTACATATTATTTACTATTTAAAGTGCTGTAAAAAATTATTGTTTGAGTAGTAAAATGTTATAGCTTTAAAACTACTGATTTCAATCTGATTTGTTCTTATTAATTCTACAGCCTTTAAATATTACTTTAAAATATTTAAAGTATGATTTAATGCTTATTTGCATTAGTAATGTAAATACAGTAGAGCACCGATTATCCGAATGTCGATAAACTGAAATGTCAATTAACCAAAAGCTTTCCAGTTGGCAAATTTAAATTTCCGCTAGTGCTGTAGTGTTGCAATCTTTGGCTATGTCTTGGGCTACTCCAATATTATTTTTATTGATCTGCATGTTGTAGCTGGCAGCACTGTCGCAACCATGAGAGGGTACTTAAGAACACGCCAGGATCTGAACGAATTTCAACCTGGGATAGGTTAACATATTTTTTCGTACATAATCGGTATCCGTAAAACCCCAGTCCCCAATTAATTCAGATAATTGATGCTGTACTGTATCTTAGTTATTTACATTATTAATGCTGTATATTAATTATACTGTTATATAGTATTATAATAATACTATGGACAAAGCATCATTAATTATTGCAATAAACAATATACATTGTAGATTTATGTATATACTCATATCAAAAGAGAAAATCAATTATTTATACTTCAATGAAATCATAAAATATTAATTTGCAAATTAAAAAAAATATATGTTAATTTGAAATAAAATTACCTCCACTGTGACCTCTTAAAGTACTGATGCATCGCCACTGTTCAATATTAACCATTTTTCCACCAGAACCAAAAACAGTTGATCCACTTCCATACCTAATAAAAGAAAATTATATCTTTCTTTTCAAATAAACTTTTGAACAGTTTTATCATACTTGCATTACATTAGAATGTAACCCAATTTGTGTTGCTAATAATACAATCATGCAAATCATAATTTGTAAATAATTTCAAGTTTTCAAATAATTTCAAATAATTACTCAAGTTCAGTTTTCAAAGAACTATAAACATATACAAATATTTATATTCATAATTATTAATGCCTTATTTTTTTAAGTGAACTTGAATTTAAAAACTTTTATTTTTATAATCATTAAATTAATCATTTGAATACTAAGTAGCTAATTAAGATATTTATTGCTGTATTAAGTAATTAATATTTTGAACTGACTTTAAATAACTTTCCTGTATTAAACTTTACCAGTGCCTATTTTTTGTTCTAATTCTTCATTGTTTTTTTACTCAAATAACTTTTACATACAGACGTGTATATTTGATAAACCATTCAATCCAGACCAAACCCAGATGGAGAACTCCAAGAATTTTTACAGGTCCATCCTGGATATGTCAGGCCCCAGCCCTCCCCACCCAGCTGCTCCATTGAGGGCTGGACTAAACCCACAACGAGTATGAAAAAAGACTCTCTCAGTGTCTACAGGGCAAAAAGGGTAAAAGAAACCTTGAATTCTTCTTCTAATACATAATAATGATTTAAATAGATCTAAAATTAATTACCTTGCCATTTAAGAGCATTCCAAATCACAATAGAATTATCTACACTACATGTTGACAGCCATACATCATGAGGTGACCATGCTAAGTCAAGTATATCTATAAAATAATATGCGATATTAAATTTTCATGAAAAATTTTTTTAGTATCTCAAAATAATTTTTCCACAAGCTTTGTGGAAGAATTTCAATACAAAATGTTAATTCATTAATTATATTTCTATTAATAGTCAAATAAAAACAATAATTTAAATTATTTATTAATGTATATGATTACTTAATTCAAGTCTCACACTAGATTGTTCTTTTCCTTCAGAATATTCTAAATTAATTAATTTAATTCAAATTTAATTTATAATTATTAAATTTAATGTAACATTGTGATCTAACTGCATATCTTTAGGCCAAATTAAATTATTTAATCATTTACTAATTAGTTTTATAATAGTTTGAATGTAATCTGGTTCTAATTATTTAAGTAGTTAAAGATTTGATTTGAATATATCTTATTTACAATAGACAATCTATTTAAATTCTAATAAAACAACTATAAAAATATCACAATAATAAAATCATCAAAACTAACAAGGATTTTATGATGTTTTTAATTGTTCACACTTGATAAATGTTAATTATACTCAATAAGTTTTATATAAATAACTAATTTTCTGACTTCGATAAGTCTGATTTAAAAATTTACAGATTTTTTTACTAATATCTGTATCAAACTATGAAACAAAACATGATTATTATTTTACAAATAAAAAGTTCAAATCAAAGATTGAACACACAAAGTATACACACATGTATTCATAAACAAGCAGCCCATGAAAAATGAAGGCAAGGTGACTGGATCGTTGCAGAAAAGAAGGAAGGAACCGCTATAAAGGACTTTTTAAAGAAAGTTTAAACAATAACATGTATTATAAAATGATTTGTTCCTGTTATCTTTTATCACTTAACTTCAATGTGAGACAAACTATCCATATTAAAATTAATTGCATAAGATATTTTTATTCTTACAACTATTCGAAGTATTAACTGCATAATAAATGGTGTAAAAAATATTTTACATATGATTAAATTCACTACAGCATAACAAGAGACTTAAAACTGATGCCAAGTAATATTTTTTATATCTGTAATTTTTATCCAAAATCGCTGTGGCAGTCCATTTTATCTGAGTTTTTATAGTTATCTACGATAAGCATCAGTCCACATTACCTCATATAATTGGGTTTCTGTTTTAATTATAAATTCAAAATTTACAACTATGCCTATAACAAAAATAATGGATAAATATTATGTAAAGCAAACATAAAAAACAGAGTAATATAGACAACTGCCTACAATGCAATTTCTTTTTTTGCAATTACTGAAAAAAATACTAAAATAATCTGTCAATAATTGAGTAGTGTACATATTATTTACTATTTAAAGTGCTGTAAAAAATTATTGTTTGAGTAGTAAAATGTTATAGCTTTAAAACTACTGATTTCAATCTGATTTGTTCTTATTAATTCTACAGCCTTTAAATATTACTTTAAAATATTTAAAGTATGATTTAATGCTTATTTGCATTAGAAATGTAAATACAGTAGAGCACCGATTATCCGAATGTCGATAAACTGAAATGTCAATTAACCAAAAGCTTTCCAGTTGGCAAATTTAAATTTCCGCTAGTGCTGTGGTGTTGCAATCTTTGGCTATGTCTTGGGCTACTCCAATATTATTTTTATTGATCTGCATGTTGTAGCTGGCAGCACTGTCACAACCATGAGAGGGTACTTAAGAACACGCCAGGATCTGAACGAATTTCAACCTGGGATAGGTTAACATATTTTTTCATACATAATCGGTATCCGTAAAACCCCAGTCCCCAATTAATTCAGATAATTGATGCTGTACTGTATCTTAGTTATTTACATTATTAATGCTGTATATTAATTATACTGTTATATAGTATTATAATAATACTATGGACAAAGCATCATTAATTATTGCAATAAACAATATACATTGTAGATTTATGTATATACTCATATCAAAAGAGAAAATCAATTATTTATACTTCAATGAAATCATAAAATATTAATTTGCAAATTAAAAAAAATATATGTTAATTTGAAATAAAATTACCTCCACTGTGACCTCTTAAAGTACTGATGCATCGCCACTGTTCAATATTAACCATTTTTCCACCAGAACCAAAAACAGTTGATCCACTTCCATACCTAATAAAAGAAAATTATATCTTTCTTTTCAAATAAACTTTTGAACAGTTTTATCATACTTGCATTACATTAGAATGTAACCCAATTTGTGTTGCTAATAATACAATCATGCAAATCATAATTTGTAAATAATTTCAAGTTTTCAAATAATTTCAAATAATTACTCAAGTTCAGTTTTCAAAGAACTATAAACATATACAAATATTTATATTCATAATTATTAATGCCTTATTTTTTTAAGTGAACTTGAATTTAAAAACTTTTATTTTTATAATCATTAAATTAATCATTTGAATACTAAGTAGCTAATTAAGATATTTATTGCTGTATTAAGTAATTAATATTTTGAACTGACTTTAAATAACTTTCCTGTATTAAACTTTACCAGTGCCTATTTTTTGTTCTAATTCTTCATTGTTTTTTTACTCAAATAACTTTTACATACAGACATTATTATACATTTAGAAAAAACAAAAATTAGGAACAGATAATATGTGAACTAAGCATAAGGAAGATATTACAGTAGAGCATCGTTTATCTGAAAGAATTCCAGTCGTCAAATTTAAATTTTCACTAGTGCTGTGGCGCTGCAATCTTTGGCTATATCTTAAGCTACTCCAATACTTTCTTTGTTGATGTGTGTTTTAGCTGGCAGCACTGGCACTTTCGTGTGGTGTTTTTCGGAGGACTGTGTGTCGTGCTGAATCGAATGTTTTTGATACTAGATTAACTACTAAATTATAATTTAGTAG